ACTCCAGTGTCTGGTTGTTTCTGAGATCGACAGGAAGGGCGTTCCAAATTGTTGGACCAGCAAATGAGAAAGTGCGCTTTCCGTAAGTCTCAAGGCAAACACGTGGTGTCGAGAGTTGGCCACTATCGGATGAGCGGAGCTCTCTAGTGGGTACATAAGGCGTCAGCAGCTCTTTCAGATAGGACGGCGCCAGGTCATGTAAGCAGCGGCAACACAAAGTTGCGATTTTGTACTCTATGCGAGCACGCACCGGCAGCCAGTGCAACTCTCTCAGAAGTGTTTTTGCATGGTCGAACTTGGGTTTGCGGAGAATAATGCGAGCCGCATTATTCTGTGCTATTTGAATTTTATCCAGGAGCGTAGCTGGAAGACCCACCATGAGAGCATTGCAATAGTCCATGCATGATAACACAAATGCAGACATCAGCCTCTTTGTTACATCAATTGTTAGGAAGGGCCTGATGTGACTTATCCTGCGCAGCTCCAGAAAAATCGCCTTGCATAGCATGTTAATATGACTTTCAAAAGTTAGTCTTCTATCTAGGTAGACACCCAGGTACCACACTGTTTAAGCTAACTCAATACGCACACCTGAGAGAGTAATGGATGTCGTGTTATTTGCAGATTTTTGCTTCTGAGCGGTCGCGATGGGGAGCAGCTCAGTCTTATCAAGCTGAATACACGTCGTAACTCTCCCCTGGTGTGCAGAATGCTTGCATCCACCTGATGGCACCACCTGATGGCATCCACCTGATGGCACCACCTGATGACATCCATTGTTCGCCAGAAATTACTGATAAGCAATGGTAGAGCCAGGTACTATGGTATCATGTTTGATTCGGCTCCTAAGCAAACAGACCGTGAGCAGATGTCTTTCATTCTATTCAAAATAATTATGTTAAAGACCTTTCCTGGTACAGACAGCAGTGTGATTCCTCTGTAATTTGGGATCTTGATGAGGTATCCTTCTTTCCAATCTCTTGGAACTCTCTCCTCTTCCCATATCTTTTCAAACAGAGGGTGCAGCATGTTGACTATTGTGTCTATGTCAGCTCTCATCATCTCTGCTCTGATGTTGTCCGCTCCCGGTGATTTCCTTAATTTGAGCTGCTTGATGGCCATAGATATTTCTTCCTTATTTAGTGCACTTTCTTCTATTTGTAAGTCTTCATTTGCTGGTTAGTATGTCTGGTGTGTCTGTGGATGGGGGTCTGTTTAATATTTCCTTAAAGTATTCCATCCATCTTTTTTGTTGCTCTTTCCTTTCTGTTATAGATCTACCTTCTCTATCTTTGACAGGTCTCTCCGGCCTTTTGTATCTCCCTGACAGTTTTCTTGTTATGTCGTTGAGCTCTTTCAAGTTGCCCTTCCTGGCTGCTTCTTCTGCTGTCGATGCTAGGCCATCTATGTTGGCATTTTTATCTTTTTTAATGCTGTTTTTTTTACCTTTTGGTTTGATTCTTTATATCTCTCTTGCGCTTTCGTTTTCTCCGCCCTGGTGCGGCTGCTGTTTACTATATTTTTCATTTCTTTTCTCTCTTTTATTTTTTGCAGTGTGTTTAGTGAGAGCCTGGCTTTTTGTTTCTGCTTCACTGATCCTAAAACTTCTTGGCAGGTGGATGTTACAGACGTCTTTATACTTTGCCATGTATGTTCTACTTGGTCATCTTCTGTTTGGTCTTCTTTAGTTTTTGATCTTCCAGCGCTTGGAACGTATTCCTCAAGGTAGCACTGAATTCTTCCCTTTTCTGCTCATTTGCCAGAAGTGCTACATTGAATTTGGTTCGCTTAGCAGTTGGCTGTTCCCAGTTTTTTCTTCAGCTTTAATTTAAGTCTCACCCAAAACAAGAGGATTGATCGGGTGCGACATCTGCTCCTCTTTTTGCTCGTACATCTTCTAGAGACTTTCTAAATTTTTAGCTGATACATAACAATATGTGATCTATTTGGTTTTGCGTTTTGTTGTCTGGGGATACTAATGTTATCTTGTGGATGTTTTTATGTTGAAATTCGTTTCCTCCAATAAGAAGCTCATTTGTTGAATTTGTTGCGCAGAAGTCTGCTAGTCTTTCTCCGTTCTCATTCCTCTCTCCTACACCATGACGTCCCATGATTTCCTCATACCCACTGTTGTCGTTTCCAATCTTGGCGTTAAGGTCTCCCATGCATTTTTTCTTTCTCCCCATTGGGTGGAGCCAGGGCCGGCTCAAGGTACCGGCAACTCGGGCAGTTGCCTGGGGCGCCATGTGCTTAGGGCGCCATTAACGATCTTCCATAATGGGAAAAATCATTGCATTTGAGCACCATGGAAGAAAAATGGAAAGTACATAAAAAGATTTGTCGATCTAAAGGGTAGAAGTTGAAAAAAAAACCATAGATATGCTAATTGTTCATACTGCCCACGGTAGGTTAATTGTTCATACTGCCCACGGTAGGCTAATTGTTCATACTGCCCACGGTAGGCTAATTGTTCATACTGCCCACGGTAGGCTAATTGTTCATACTGCCCACGGTAGGCTAATTGTTCATACTTCCCACGGTAGGCTAATTGTTCATACTGCCCACGGTAGGCTAATTGTTCATACTGTTCACGGTAGGCTATTGTTCATACCGCCCACGGTAGGCTAATTGTTCATACCGCCCACGGTAGGCTAATTGTTCATACTGCCCACGGTAGGCTAATTGTTCATACTGCCCTCGGTAGGCTAATTGTTCATACTGTCCAAATACAAGTTAATAAAACAATTTTATTGTTCATTGCTTTAAAACAAAAAAAACAAAGCCAGGTAATAAACGTATTACCTAACCTCAGGTTTTTTTTCTTGCACACATTTTTTTGATTAATAGGGGCGCCAAAGTTAATCTTTCCCGGAGCCCCAGCAAGCGTAGGACCAACCCTGCTGGACGGACGGAGCACATTATAAACAAAGGAGAAGTATCTCATTTTTAAACACCCGGTTTCATTTTCCCGGGTCCCCGGGTGTGTTAATAGGCCTACTTGGCATTTCCGGGGGGTCAGCCCTACTTAAAATAAGTATGTACTATGTATCCAAAGAAATTTCCATTTGCTGAGAACAATAAAAGAAACTTATCGTAACCTTATAATATAAACACATTACAAAAGGCAGGATGACCATTAGTTTAAGGGTTGAGACCTGGACCACTGGTGTATTGTATGGCTACGGGCGGGGGGGGGGGGGGTCTTCGAGCGGGGAACCCATCCAAGGGGCGCCATTGCATTACATTACATTACATTACAGATACGTAACATGGCGGTCACAATTACAGTTACAGACACCTGGAAGAGCAAAAGTGGTTCTGCAGACGGAACCCAACAAGAAGCAGACGGCACACCGGTCAAGCAGGACTGAAGCGGGTTGATGATTTGGACTTGGAGATGAACATCTGATGGGAGTCAAGGCATGCAGGGGAAATGCCTTAGATCAGTCTGAATGGAAATGGAAGGAATGTGGTGGAACAGGACAGAGCCCAGTAATAGTAGTAGATGAACACTCAAGGATGTAGTCTCTATCGTACATTCCTTTATACCCCACATCACATGACCACTGACTCCAGTTATCCAACCAATATTCACTCATTTTGGCTAAGCCATTCATTAAAAAAAAACAAAAAACTCACCACGTCCAGTCGGTAACCATGACAACAACACAGGACAATCAGGTCACTGTGAGTGACTAAGGTCAGAAAGTACACATGATGATACCGACACTGGATTGTCAAATAGCCACTCTTACTAGTCTTACTGTCATAATGGCATTACAGACAGGCTACATTACAATCACATTGCGCTTCAGTCACAGTACAAACATTCAGAGTAAACAAGTACATTACAGAGTATATTACAGATGCAGTACTTTACAAAAGTATATTACATTACAGAAACTGTACATTACTGTTTATAGAAACAGTACATTACTGTTTATAGACACAGTACTATACAGACACGGTATATTAAAGTCAGAGTACCATGCATAACATTAAAAAGTACATTACATAGTCTTTAGATACACTGTACATTACAGACACAGTAATTTACATTAAACACTGTATTTTACATAACAGACACGTTACAATTACATTACAGGGTACAAGACATTACAGACACAGTATTTTACGTTACAGAAACATTACATTACAGATTACATTACATAATACATTCCAGAGTACATTCAGACATATTACATTCCAGAGTACATTCAGACATATATTACAGAGTACATTCAGACATATATTACAGAGTACATTCAGACATATATTACAGAGTACATTCAGACATATTACATTGCAGAGTACATTACAAACACATTACATTACAGAGTAGCCTACATTACAGAAACATTACATTACATAGTACATTACAGACACATTCCAATACAGACACATTACATTATAGAGTACATAACAGGCACACTATATTACAGTTACAGACACAGTATATTGCAAACACAGTTATTACTACAGACACAGTATATTTTACACAGAGTTAATTACATTACAGACACAGTATGATTCATTTGATCTAATTCACCATCTGGAGCTTGTTGCTGAAGACCCAAGAGATAAATTACACAATTTTTTGTTTTAATTTCCTTTTTAATACCATCATTTGACAAAAAATGTACCATCACATGTCGTATGTACCGTCAATTACTTATTTTTTATAACATGATTGGAACACATGAACAAACTTCCAACAATGAACATATTAAAGAGCATGATTTCCTTTGCATTTTTTTTTTGTATTGAAATATCACATCTGTACACCTTGCAGACCTTACATCCGGTGGCAGACCTAGACAAGTGCAAAGGGGGGTAATGGCCCACGGCAACAACTTTTGGGGTTTATAAAACATATTATCTAGATGTAGATTACGAATGTGTGTGTGTTTTGGGATGCACTTTTAGGAGTTTGTTTGATTGCAGTTAGTTAAGGCATGCCACTGCTAACACACACACACACACACACACACACACACACACACACACACATATACATATATATATAATGATAATTTTATTCTAGCATAACAGTCAGTCAATATATTTGGAAACAACAAGAGAAACTGTTTAAAATGCTATGTGAGAAAAACAATGTGGTTTACAGGCTGAAGGAAGTATTTTAATATCCTACTGGATAACACATGGACATTGCTTGAACTATAATATTACTCTTAATTAATTTTGGTAATCCATGTTTGTTATGGATTTCTATTATTTTATTTTGCTGGGGGTGGCGGTGGAGGGTAGCCTAGATTTGACTTATATAAACATGAGGTACTGTAGGCCTGCACAACCCAAAATTTAAGGCGGGCCGCAATGCATTATGAAAAATTTGTGCTGGCCAAAAGAAAATAGGACAGGACTTGTGCGGGCCAAAAAAATATAGGTCGGGGGAAAGTTATTAAGAAAATAATAAGAATAACGAGTTTTTTGATACCTCCCGGGCCACAAATTGACTGCTAGTGTTTATATAATTAAGTTTACAGTATGTAAATATGTGCTACCATTGCTACCATTGACAAACAACAGCTCCAAATGGTTTTCAAAACAAAACTCATTTAACAGTATTTAATGATGACATAATTGCAAGACATAATGAGTTTTTCAAAATAAAAATTAATTAATAAAATAGGTCAAATTATGGCACACATAGCAAGTATTGTAAATCACATCTGAACATGGAATCCTAAGTTAATTAAAATTTAAGAGCTATTTGTTAAATCCATCCAATGTTCACAGCATCAAATGTTCATTAACTTGTAGGATAAGATTTTTCACCTTGCTTTTCACTATTCCTCATAACCTGTGTGGCAAGGTTGCATCAGATTTGAGCAACATTATCAGTTGCAAATGCTTTAAACAAATGTTCACCAACAAAAGTTTTAAACACAGCTTTACTAACCTAGACTACGTAAATATATTGAAAAAACATTGTAAGTGGAAACTTAATGTATTTTCATTATAAAGTATAGATTTTCTTTTTCTATGTTTAAAGAAAGCTATTATGAAAAGTAACTGTAAGTTGTGTTTTAAGTTTAAATTTAAAAAGCAACTTCACACACACTGAATGCAAGATATTAATTATTATTATTAATCGATTATTATCTTTTTTTGTATTATATTAATCATAAATAAAAAGAAGACACAGATATACAATTCATACAAATATCACTGAATACTTGTTAATTACTGTCAATAGATATATTTTAAACTCTTTGAAACAAATAATAAATAATTAGTAAGTTTTAGGCTAATATAACAATGAAAGCAGCTTAATAAGGGAATTTCAAAATAATTGTAAACATTACCAATGACAGAAAGTCTAAATGTGACAGCAAGCTAAAGTGATGAACTTGATTTTTTCAGCCTGTCAATAAGCCACTCTGCTGAAACAAACCAATAACTATTGACTTTGAATATAAGAGAAGCTATAAATCCCATATGTTTAGTTGGTGAAATGACGTGTAGATGCAGATGAGATATGGAGTTGAATGGGGGCCAGTGAAATCCCATGCGAACATCAGTTACATCTCCCCCTTGTTTAGCTAAGAAATCTTTTCCCACAGACACGAGTTGTTCAACCAGCTTTACGTCATTGCTCCCCAAGTGTTTAGGGTCCTTGACATGCTTCTCAGGGATGATTAAATAATGGTGATCTGAGGCGGGTCGGAGGTCTTTAAAGATGACTATACCGTCCTGTTGGTAGAGTAAATCAGTTTTCGGCTCTTGGTTGTTTGCAATACGACAAAAAATACATTTGCTACATGTTGGCTGTTCTGGTGGAGTGGTCTGTGCCATTTTTATCGTCCTTAAATATAAAAAGAAAAATATTTCATAAAAAGAAAAACATTGGTCTTAGCTTTAGAATTTTGAAATTTCTTAGCAATAGCATCAAATAAATGAAACTAAAGTCATGAGAAACTATGAGAACAGAATTTTGTTTCATACATTTTAAAATAGTCTGTTATTGTGATGAACTAGCAGTTAAAATAACTATTGTCTTGTGCTTTGAGATTGCAAATTGTCATTTAGTATTTAAACTGCGTCCATATGCCTCAGATAAATAATATTTTACTGCACTCCCAGACTTTTTTAAAGAAATTTTAAAGAGTACTCCTTTTCCAGTTCTTTGGTAAATATGCCAGATCTTTTCACATTGAGGCCATCAACAAAAAATGTTCAGGATCTAAGAGGTACTGGGGGACCCAAATTTGTGATTATGTGTGAATAAGGTGTCTAATTTACTTTTTTTAGGGGTGGGGGTGTAAAAATACTGTGAATCATTTATGGATGGTCCCCATGGCAAAAAGTGAATCAATATATTTAGGAAAATTTAAAAATACCTATGTTGTGGTTAAATTCAATAATGGGCATATCTCTAGAAGCCACAAAATATGACTCATGCCTACTATCCCAAGCATCACTGGAAGACAACAGAGTGAATACAGTAGGTTGATTCAAATATAAATAAAGGCTACGGCTATTCGGACCCGGTATCAGAAGTGAGAGGTTGGATTGATTAAAAAATATTAAAAATAATATTGTAGGGTTTGTACAGCAACATTTGGTATCAAATGAAAGATCATCGAATGGACTATATGTTTATAAACTTAATTCTTCAGTTTAACTAAAATAAACTACCACAAGTGAATAACATCCAAATAGCATTAAGTGTAAAGGGACCCAGGTCCGAATAGCGGCGATGCGTGTCCGGATCCATTTTGACTAAATGCTATTGGGATGTCATTTGTGGTAGTTTATTTTAGTTTTAGTTAAACTGAAGATTTAAGTTTACAAACATATAGTCCATTCAATTATTTGTCATTCAATACCAAATTTTATCTTCATTTTTTAATCTAAACCTCTCACTTCTGGTATATAAGGAACTCTAGGCCCCTACTATAGTCTATAGGTATTTGAATTTAAAAATGATAGGCAGCCTACTCTGGCAAAACTGCTGGTATTTATTTAAGTTTTAAGACAAGGCCAAGGGGCTCATATTTTTTTCTCTCTTTTACTTTAACTTAAACCATAAATTAAATTTTTTTGTATGTTTAGTGAAGTGTATACTGCTGTATTAGTCTATGAAATTAATAAAAATATAATAAAACTAATGTTTTTGTATTGAATTGAATATGTACTGTTATCAATTTATTAGTAATTATAATTAGTATTGCATTGTGATTGTGAGACAAAAGCAACACAGATTCAGATACGAATTCAAAATTCAATTCTGGATATTTCTCCTCCAACTATTACTATTACTAAGTATTACTAGTCCAACTGAACTGATCCTATTGCTACTGATAGTGATGCTAGTGTGATAGGAGTGAATTAATAATTATGAAATGAATTGTTAAAAAAACTTGAAAATGAAGTTGAAATAATTTTGGATAATTTTGTAATGATAAAAATGTTTTTTAAAGTTATATCGTATAATGAATGTATTCTACACTAGTCTTACTATTACTAATACTACACCACACTTCTTACACTCTACAGTCAACAGTGTTGACTTGTCAACAGACATTTATAGTTCTTCTAGCCAGTGACAGAATTAATTAATTAATAATTAACTTACTAGCTGTTTATAATTATTATCAAAGTATTCAAAGACACACTCAGTATCATAGAGACTAGGTTCTGCTTCTCTGAGTTATTGTTTATATCCTAAAATTAAAAAGTGTGACCATTAATATGATTAACTGGAGGGGCATCTGATAGTCAGGCGCTTTTGATTATTAGGTTCTTCTTTTTATAAGTATAAGGCCTAGGCTTATCTGAAGTTCAGCGGAACATTTGCCCCGCTCTTTCTTCTAAAAAGATACTTTTATAATATTTAATATGAGTTATATCCCCTTTGTTTATCGCCCAGGTTGATATACCGCTTAAAACTTTTCTATAAAAAGTTAATATCTAGATAAATAATTCTATAATTTGAGAATCATAATTGTACGGTGAATACGCTTTGTTAAGACCATTTCATATCAGTATACATTTAGTGATGTGAATGCAAAAGATGGTTTTCTAAATCTAAGTTATACAGCTAAATAGCCTGTTGTCGATAACGATTATTAGAACTAAATCTAGGCCTTATATTTATTAATTTAATCGTTTGGCATTTATTTGGCCTATGAATATTGATTGCATTTTTTTAAACCCCGTCTTTGACTACATGGTCTATTTTATATATAAACCGACCTAGCCTATATCTAAGTGTGTTATGAATAGTGCTATTAAGTATTAGTATTGATGTATAGTATAGTATAGTATAGTCATTGACTATACTATACTATACTATACACTATTCACTATACACTTAATACAGTATACACTATACTCCCTATACTATTGACTATTGACATTTTTAGAGTTAAGTTTAGGGATATTAATATTTAAATTATTTCAAAACATTTAATAGAAAGTAATATAGAGACTTTACCAGTTCATGGATAGAGTTATGGTTTACTACCAGCTGAAATGTTCTCTTTAGGCTTTAAGATAATTACATTCTTGATTGTTTTATATTTCAGTACATTTAATGCTCTGAATTTAAAAAAAATAATCAAGCAACATGTCAAAAGGAAAAGTCCCCATCATGTCCACAGCAGGTGCTATACCTGTACGAAATGAAAAAGGTAAAGTCAAATTAACTTCTTGTTTTAACTACAATTTAGGACTTTTAGCAGGATTTTATGCAGTTTGATAATTTTAAAACATTTAGACCTTATCATGCCTTATGTAAAACTATATCATTTTAAAAAAATGAAAAATACAATTTTTTCATTATAATGTTTATTTTGTTGTATTTTTTCAATATCCATACTTAAACTATCATTCACTTCATTGAATGAATCATTGTGTTAATCTTTAAAACTTTGTAGGTGAGCTCACTATGGAAAAGGTGAAAGTCACTCGGTACATGCGAGGTCAAAGGCCAGAGTTTGCACCAGAGAGTGATGATGAAGAAGAAGTAGAAGTAACTACTGGTTTTCAATCACGAGTTCGTGCTCCTCAAGTTGATGACAGAAAAGAAGATGATGATGAAATTGAAAAAGAGAGCCAGGAGGTTCAGGATCGAAGGCTAAGGAGACTCCAGCACAGAGAAAGACAAGACAGTGATGATGAGGAAGACAGGTGAAAAAAAATTCTAGTTTGCTTGAGAAATATGAAGAAATTATATCATAAATTTAAATAAAAGTGAATTTACTTAAATAAATACCAGCAGTTTTGACAATTTTCTGAGTAGCTTAAAGAGTTCTGAGTTCAGCTTAAAGAGTCATTCTTATTCCCCTCTACCTTGAAATAGAATTACTTCAACCCCAGGCCTTAAAGTTGCACCTTTATGTCGCACTGCTTTTGGGCAAGGCAACATTGGCAAATAATTATCACAACAATGTCATTTTATTAACTTGTTTCTTATCTAGGGTTACTCGTCATCGTAGAGAAGTTGTTGAGCCAGAGGTCATTGCAGAGGGTTCAGATGATGAGAGCCGTCCTATTAGAAGGAGGCGTGCTGATGACAGCAGTGAGGGAGAGGAGGATGAAGAGGAAGAAGAAGAGTTAGATGAAGAGGTCCTTAACTTTTTTCTTACTCCTGCAATTCCATTATAAGTCATTCTATGCCTGTATGGTTTTTACTAGTGTAAAAGATTAAACAATAACAAATCATATTTCTTTAACTGCCATTTTTCATCAATGTATTTTAAGTATTTATTTTTCATTGACCTTGACCCCCTTGTTCTTCATTCCATGACAATTTTGTCCTTTTAATTTTTATGTGGTTTATTTCATTAAAAATATTTTTTTTCAGGAAATTGAAAGACGCAGAGCAATGAGGAAGATAAAAGTGATACAACAACGGGATGAAGAGGTGAAGAAAAAATAGTTTTGTTTGATGGCACTTTTATGGTGATTTTATAATTCAGCAATCTGACCCCAAGGAATATGGGAATAACTGCCATGATATCCGTTGTATAAATTAATGGTTATTATGTTTGCAGTTTCTATCATAAGATTGCTTAAGGTGGTTTTTTTAAAGGACTAATGGACATGAGGAGGAGGAGGAAAAAAAGCTGTGATATCATTTAATAATAATTTGTATGACCTATTTAAGACAATGTTAATCATAAACTAATTGACTAAAGTAGTTCCAAAGAGATGAAGATAGGGTTACAGCTAATATCATGTTTATCTATGCAGGAGGTGATGGATGTGGAAGATGAAAAGAGAGATGAGGAAGAATCTGAGGAAGAGTCATCTGAATATGAGGAGTACACAGACTCAGAGGAAGAAGCTGGTCCAAGACTGAAGCCAGTCTTTGTGAGAAAGTAAGACTTTGAAGTTTGATAAATATTGATGTTTCATCCCTTAACACCGTTGCGGAGTTGTCACATCAAGGTCTTCAGTTTTCATTAAAGCCATCTAATTATAAGTAAGAGTGTTGGACTGCGATAAAGCTTTCAAGTAGATTAATGAGACACAAACAATATGTGTAAATAAAACAATATTTGTTCAGCTTTAATAATGATCGTACAGAATACAAATGTTAACATTTCATCAGTACAAAAAACAAAGAAAATATTCATAAAGTGTTAAGTAAACTTATATAATATATATCCATGTATCCTACCTAAAAATGAGAGAAAAGAATAAGAAGAGTGGGTGCATGTCCCTGACAAAAACAAAGTTCAGAAGAGCGGAAAGGAAGTGAGTGGAAGTAAAATTTAAAAACCAAACAGGAACTCTAACTTTTTCAGTTAATCTTTTTCTTTTACCCCAAGTTCCATCCTTGTAAAAGAGACAAAGTATAATGTTGTTGTTTACATTATGTTTCACTTGATCAGAAAAGACAGAATAACAGTGCAAGAGAGGGAAAGAGAAGAAGCTAGAACTAAAGAGTTGGAGGTGGAAGCTAAAAAACTGGCGGAGGAGAGGAAACGACAGACCATCAAAGTTTGTAAAGTTGACATGTTTTTAGCACTTTGAAAGTTTTAGTGACCTACTATCTGTCAATTTCATATGGTCAGCTAGTATAAATTTTAGTGACCTACTTACTGTTAATTTCATATGGTCTGTTGGTATACATTTTAGTGACCTACTTTCATATGGTCATTGTGTATAGCAAGGGTATCAGATTCAACTACTTATATTTCTGTGTCACAGCATGTTACAGAGCAGAAATTAACCACACAGCTTAGTCCATAAGGGGGATTTTAATATGAAAATGGAGGATCTTTATACACCTTAAATACTTGTTCTAAAGACGACTTACAAAAAATAAATAATGATACTGGTGAGTAAGAAGGGCGATCAGCATACAGGCTGGTCACGAGAGGATATAAATAATCTATACATTTTCAGATGAGAAGCAAAGATCGTATTACAAGTTTATGTGTAGCCATGATTAGAAAATAATTCCCAACTTGTCTTCCAAATTAAAGCAAAAGTTTGGCACTGAAAAAAATGTTCCTTTTGCTTCTTTCTTATCACTATTAAGTAGCTGCAGTTTCATTCAGCCTTTTTAAAATTCACCAATTTGACAGAGAAGTTTGTTGTGAACTAGATAGTTTTATGTGATCACAGATGGCAAATCAAGAAATGAAGAGAGAACTGGAAGAGGAGAAGAGTCTGCAGCAAGCTTGTGATGGCATTGACTCAGATGAAGATAATGATGAAGAAGAATATGAAGTGTGGAAAGTCAGGGAACTCAAGAGGATAAAGCGAGACAGAGAAGAGCGAGAAGCGTAAGTGGCTAGTGTTGGAAATTAAACTGCATTTGTATTCCTTTTGAGACAAATTAAATTATGAAAGTATTTTATTTCTTTTGTAAATAAAAATTGTCTATCATGGAGATCTGCCTAGTGAACACTAAATACTTGTAAGATGATCAATTTCTATCATAAGGTCAGGGTATTGTCACATAAATATCACTTTGAAAATACTACTTAAGAATTACATAACATCCATATATGATATATGTTTATATGTTTCTTCTGATTAATGAAGATGCTTTTGCCTCTGCTCAATAAAAGTCTGCACCTAATATCTAAAAATACTGAAAATGAATACTGTAACTAATGATATGAAAATGAGAAAAATTATGATACACCTGTTTCTTGTAGGATTTTATCAAGTGAATCCTACTCTGTTCTCTTTCTTGACTGCAACTATAGCAAATCCATGCATTTATTGAAACATGATAGTCTATCACAGATTCAAGGTCTTAGTCTTAGTCCTTTTACTTTTACTTAGACAAAATAATCTTTTTAGTATATCATTATCAAAATAAAATGCTTTTTACAAAGATTTAGTAACTTCTGTTTATTTTAAAGCTGTCCATATTATTGTGGTCATAAATGAAACTTTCAGGACTGACAAAGAGAAAATGGAGGTTGAACGACTTAGAAACATGACTGAAGAAGAAAGACGACAGGAGTTGAGGCAGAACCCCAAACAAGTCATTAACAAAGCACCTAAAGGAAAATACAAATTCCTGCAAAAATACTATCATCGTGGTGCTTTCTTTTTGGTAAGTTTATCACAGTTACGTGCCATAAATGTTAAAGATTAAAAGTTTTACACTTATTTTATATACACACAGGAAATTCGTTCATTCCCTTTCCTTAATCAATAAGTAGGGTACAAATTATGTCAAATGTAATTTTAAATCATGCCCTTTTTTTGTTTGACTGATGATGGCATGTGGCTTGAATGTCTTAATTTTAATTAAAGCTCAACTATACTGTTACCTCTCCAAAAATTTCCACAATTAGTTAATCTCTGAAAGTATATACCCCTGTGATTCTTTATTAGAATTGTTGTAACATACACCAAAAATAAATATTAGCTGTCTATTAAATTTCTCATGATTCTTAGTCATGATTTTTGTTGTCTTTAACACTTTTTTCTGAAGTTAAAAAAAAACAAAAAACTAATAATTTCTTCAGGACAAAGATGATCAGGTTTTCAAACAAGATTTTTCTCAGCCTACATTGGAAGATCACTTTGACAAGACAATTTTACCCAAGGTCATGCAGGTAAGAATTAAAATAAGGAAGTGAAATTTACTGTAAAATTTTGATAAGAATATGTACAAGCAGTTAGCAGTGTTACTGGTATTGTTTATTTTGGTTATCTTTAAGAGAGGGTGGAAACAGAATGCATCTCAGTTTTAAATATTAAAGAATAATAAATATTTGAATTTTGTAGTCTAAGATAAATGATACTCGATGGCTCTCTGTTTCCAATGCAAATATCTGCTATGCATTTGCTTTCTTCATAAACAACATTCCTGACTTGATTGGGTTCATAACTGCTCATGGCTGAATGTATGATTGCTGTTTTCAGGTTAAAAACTTTGGCAGATCTGGAAGGACCAAATACACCCATCTCCTGGACCAGGACACAACACAGAAAAATGAAACACCATGGATTCAGGACACAGCACAAAATCTCAAGTTCCACACGGCGAGGGGCGGCGGCATGAAACAGCAATTTGATAGGCCATCAGCCAAAGTAAAAAAATGAAAGACTTTTTAAATGGAAGTAGGTTTTTGTTACATGAATTTTATTAGGTTTGAATGAGAGGAAATAGCAAACATTAAGCAAATAAACATATTTTTTTAAAATAGGTCACCATTTCATCTTTATTCTGTGATTCTGGGCAACTAATTGGCTTGGGTCAAATCTTGAGAAAATGGAATATTTACCATGTCAGTGCTGGCTTCTGAAATGTTTGCTAACAACTAAGTGAAGTATTTGTAATAGATAAATATTCCATTACCGCTGATTACTTATCATCTTAGATCAGAAATCCATATCCTTTTGTGCATTAATTATTAAGGATCACATGGAAGTGGGGCATCTATAAAAAATGTTATCCCAAAAATTGCTTTATAATTGTAGGGTATTGTGTTAATGTTTGGTTGTCCGGGCCAGGCCACACCATTTGGTGACCTCTGCTGTGGGTGGTTTGTTAAAAAAAAGAAAACTTTAATATTAATTGGTGATCATCATTAATGACCACAATAATTGTAAATAGAATTTGTTTTGGTATGTTTCAGTGCTTTTAAGTTTTTATTAAAAGGGGTTGAAACTTCATCTGAGGCACAAGTGTCAACAATTTTTTTAAATTTCATGTCAATGTTATTTAAAAAATATAATTTCTTTAAATAGCTGCTAGCTATGAATGCCAGATGTATAATTGACCGTTCATGTTGTGATTTTAAAAACTAGAATGTATGTTGATTAAGAAATGATATGTATGAATACGATGTTCTATTTTATGGATTTCATACTATTAGTTTAATTACACGTTGATCATCCCTCTTTGTAAAATTTTAATAAATTTCATTATTTTAAAACTCTTGCATGAAAGCGCTGCTGAAGAATTATTCAAGACAAACAGATCTCATCAATTTCAAACTTTATTTTTAAAGAACTTTACATTGTTGGGAACAATTACAAAGTTATCTTCCAAAATTTTACACGTTTAATTCAGAATTTTTTGCAACATTTTAATTTTGTTACAGAGTAACACTAAATATTTCCCCCAAATGACCAGCACTGGATAACTCTGGTCACTGAAAATTCCATAATATGGATCAAAGACAAACTTAAATACTTTACTTTTTTCTTTAATTAAAGATTAAAATTTAACGTAAAAGTTTAGTTTTATCCCAAATATTAAATTACAAGAAGAAAAAAGCAAAACATGAATTACTGAATAATGAATAAGTTAAAATCCGTAAAAATGATTTTTTAACACCTGGTAATGATACAATCAGACCTTATTACATATTTATTATTTCCACAGCTTAAAAATAATTTCATTTGTTACAAATAAATCTGCACATCATTAAGGCACATTACTGGCTTTTATACCAATTGAATATTTCATAGGAAATGTTTAATTGGTGGAAATATTCAATTGGTAAATTTATTTTGATTTGAAATAATTCAGTGCTAAATAAAAATTTTGTTGGCCGAATTATATAACTATATTAGAATGTTAAAGTTGTTTGTGTCAGCCCAGGATTCAACCGTTTGGAAGTTATCAAGATCTTAGCAAAGCAAAACTTTTGAATAAAAGTATAAACATTGTTTACTGCAATTCTACTGCACGTAGATAACATGAAAATTGCATACTTTTAATTCATAAAAATTATACAAAAAATCTTGGTTTAAAATGTTTTGCTGGTATGTATTAATGTAATTGTTCAAATTTCTTGATCCAGCATTAATGCATTCTAACAAAATTTATACTACCAGTAGTTAAAAGATACTATGATAACAAAAAAAACCCAACCTTTTCCCACCCCAAGGCATAAGCAAAATTAGCTAATAGTTACAAATAGACCCCCTTAAGTCATCTATTAAGATTTTGAAATTTTCATAATCATTTAATCTGAGTAAATAACTGATATGAAACTAAATATATCTAAAAAAAAATACAACCTGAATGTTTTGATAATCTTGGAGGTATTAACTAAGACAAAACATTAGTTCTATATCAAGTAAATAAATAGTTGAACAAGAGTGGCAAGTCTTAAAACTAAAACTATTTATTTACTTTTCATGGCTTGAATGCAGTCCCTCAAATATTATTTTATATCAAGTCAGCTTTGAGGTTTGTAGATTTTGAACACATGCAGGTTTGCTTACATATAATTTATGCCAGTAACATTCTTGGAATAGTGATTAAAGTAGTGGGCCATAACAGCTTTTTAAAACAACATAAAAATTGTTTTTGCCATATTTAAATCTTTGAGAAATGAACACATCGGTGGTAATTGGTAACCTGAGTTAAAAAACAGACATAAATGCTTGCTACTCAACAATTCTGGCAAGCAATATTGAAGAAAAGAAAATTACACAGACAACAATACAAGTTGAACACAAGTAAGGTAGATAACATTAGTGATTATAACCAATTCAGCAGTTTTCATAATTCCTTGAAAAAAAAAGTAAGAGACATTGTTCAGTGGTTATTTGTTTGTTTTCAAATGCTCATGGTATTTGTAAATGGTGGTTTCTCAATTAAGTACAACTTAAAATGTTTAAAATTGTAATACAAAAAAGTTCCTAAGAGGAGTTGATATATTAAGTAAGTAAATTCACCTGGGATTAATGGAAGAATTATGTGCAACAAAATATACATACAATTCAAGGCACATTATCAGCAAATATATACAGATAATTTGATCAGTTCTATATACAGATATTACAAAGGAATATGAGAGAAAAATGTAATTTTGATTTATAGAAACGTGTTAAAAAAGAAGGGAGGAAAAAAAGAGTTAGAAAAAGCTGTAACAAGTTTTGAACACTGAATGTCGTCGTGAGTGTGGACTACCCTTTGGACAACTAAGAGTAAGAGAATATAAACACTGTCCTTCCATTAAAAAAAAAAGACGACTCTAATAAATACTGACCCCAAAAACACCACCAACCCACTTAAATAAAATAAGTGTTGAAAAATATTCAAAGAACAATATCTAGTCCGAGGCCATGATCCGACTGAATAGACATTAAAAAATGTCAACAAAACCCTAATGAGAAGATAAATATAAGGATGTGCAGCTTATCTACCAGCTGTAATTTAACATTATTTGTTCCTTCACTTCTCGTAACTTAACAATGAAAGAAGGCAAACCACCAACAGTGACTTAAGTCTTTTCACCAACACAAATTATTTATTATTCTTAATAAAAAACTTTGCACTATTTCAAGTAAAGTGTACATCCATTTAAAACTTGCATTGTAGCTTTGTGCCTGTGTTTAATTGTCCTCTTCATCACTAGCATCTTGAAACATATTCAATAAGTTCTTAGGCTCAATCCCTGGTTTTGGTTCATCCCAGTCCATCTTGGCAATTGATGAAATTGGGGGTGGTGTGCCTGAACGGTCATCCTCATCATTGGGGCTGCTGCGGTGTTCACTACTCACAGATGAACTATGTGTTGTAGATGGGGTACTAGTCATACTATCGTTGAAAAGAAGCCTGTAGACAAAATTAAAATCATAGAGCATATTTATTATTACATTCAGAAAAATGTTACTAGAAACAAAAATATATATTGGGTTTACATCAATAAGAAAAATCCATTCAAATGGTAACTTAAATATTTTTACTGAACTCATTCCCGACGGCAGTGCTACTACCAGGCTTAATTTATATGCCTGAGAGAGGGAAGTAACTCCGATTTGCACTTGACTTAATTTGTAAAATATTTATTTAGTCTGCTAATTAATATTTAATGAACTAAGAACAAATGCAACAAAAAATGAATTAGGTTTAATAAAAATATGACATCAGCAACGAAAAAATAACGAACAATTACCAAAAAAAAAAAAAAAAAAAATTTAAATTCATATAGCACGATTGTGGTTTAATACCTTGAGAACCCGTAACCCGTAAGACGCGAGTGCCATCCATATTCGACCTCGATCCTACTCCCCCACCTTTAAAAAAAAAAAAAAAAATGATTTTCGGAACCTCGGACGAACACATGCTACATATAGACTCACTATATTAAAGCAAACATAGTTTCAAAGTGAAACAAGATAAAACTTCTGGCTTTTAAATTGAAACCACCCTGAATAATTCTCCAGAAGTCTCATTGCTATTTTTAAATAGAAATGAGAGGTGTGTGTCGCTATGCACCGGGACCAATCCGCCGAAACCCCCCAAGGACGCATTTAGTCGCAACCGTCGGCAATGATTTAAAAAGGAATAACAGATTAAACATTAAGAAAATGAGTACTTGCTTATAACAAAAGAAATCAGGCTAGGGAAAAAAAGCTTACCTTTTAATTGGAGACCCATTCATAATGGATGTAGCAGGTCGCCTACGAACAGCAGGTGTTGTATACGCCCGCCTGGGAGGAGGATTGCTGCAATAATAATTTTTAAAGAAGCCTGTTAGAATTTATAAAGAATAAAATGTTACACGGCCCTCACAAGAACATGTGCTGAGAACTTAGAAATGTTTTTTTTTTCAGACTTGAAGGGAAAAAAAACAAAAAAAATGACCTCAAGGTTAAGGCAGTTGTGGGTTGTGAAGGTATCTTTTTTTTTTTTTTTTATATAAACTTTTCTGTCCGTTTGTGGTTTGTTGGTGTTCAGGAAGTGGGTCAAAATTGAGATGCACAATTCAACCCAGAAAAAAATTGCAAGTTAAATAAATAAAAAAAAAAAAAAAAATTACCTCAAGGTTAAGGCAGTTGTGGGTTGTGAAGGTATCTTTTTTTTTTTTTTTTATATAAACTTTGCTGTCCGTTTGTGGTCTGTTGGTGATCAGGAAGTGGGTCAAAATTGAGATGCACAATTCAACCCAGAAAAAAATTGCAAGTTAAATAAAATTGTATAACAAAATAATTCATCCCCTGGCGAAATATCTGAACACTGGTTGTTATCCCAACTCTAATTTGGTGTACAATGCAATCTACCATCAACACAGCATCCACTCATTTCCAAAGTTTTGTGAACTGTTTAGTAAGCACCACACACCCACAGTATTGTACATTTTGTTGTTACACACCCACAGTATTGTACATTTTGTTGTTACACATCCACAGTCTTGTACATTTTGTTGTGAAACATGTTTTTGTAAGGGTGAACATCTAAAACAAAGGTAGCATATCTGTTTCCCCTACAGTTTTGACATAACTAGGTTTTTAAAACTTGGATTACAGTAAGTCTTAAAAAAATTACGGTTTGAGAGTTTTTTTGGCATTTGGTTTATTTTAACTAAAAAATAATTGGGGCGTAGTCAGCAAAAAGTTACAGCTTTTTTTGTGTTAACACCGTTAGGGAATAAGAATAACTTATTTCAATAAACCAACCAGAATATTATCATTTAGAGAATTGGGTTGTTAATACTTAGCTGCTGTCACGGTCAGATCGCATTGTGTCTGGATTGATATTTTTAACAGTGAGCAATGTTTTTCCTTTGGAACTTCCCCATATAATCGCACCATGTTTACTAAGTCATAAATGTGCTATGACGCATTTCCGACATGGTTCGATATATTTGTTATGAGCACAAGAAAGCATTGTTTAGGGAGTGAGTCATAAACGTGCTATGTTCGGTCTTACATATACTGAGATGGTTTCACTCGTATATGACAAATCAGGTCCAGTCAGTTATTTCAAACGGCTTGACCTCGAAGCAATCTATAATTGAATTCGGGGTACCCCAGGGCTCGGTCTTAGGCCTGATGCTTTTCACTATGTACGTTCAGACACTGGGTGCAGTGATCAAGCAATTTGACATGCTTATCACGTGTTCGCGGATGTTACACAACTTTATCAATTCGTGATCCCTCTCAGTTCCCTCAACTTCTTAGTACGACACAGAAGACAGTGGAGTCAGTTAAGCACTGGATGACCATAAACAAGCTCAAATTGAATGATGAAAAGACTGTGCTGATCCCATTGCCTCTGCTCAGAAACAAAAATCTGTAAAAAACACATCACTTACTCTATCAGGTATGCAGATTGAGTTTGCTCATACAGTGCGAGATCTGGGTGTCTATTTAGACAGAACACTTACTATGGAAAATCACATTAACATGCTTTGCAAGGCAATTTTCCCAGAGCTGCGCAGGATTAGTCATATCAGACCTTTCTTAGATGCATCAAAGAGGCTGATGTCTGCATTTGTGTTATCATGCATGGACTACTGTAATGCTCTCATGGTGGGTCTCCCAGCGACGCTCCTGGATAAAATTCAAAGAGCACAGAATAATGCGGCTCGCATTGTTCTTCGCAAACTCGACCATGCTAAAACACTTCTGAGAGAGCTGCACTGGCTGCCGGTCCGCGCTCGCATAGAGTAAAAAATTGCAACTTTGTGCTACCGCTGCTTACATGACCTGGCGCCATCTTATCTCAAAGCACCCATGACGCCTTATGTACCAACTAGAGAGCTCCGCTCATCCGATAGTGGCAAAATATCGATACTGTGTGTTTGCCTTGAGCCTTACGGAAAGTGCACTTTTGCATTTGCTGGCCCAACAATTTGGAACGCCCTTCCAGTCGCTCTCAGAAACAGCCAGACACTGGAGTCCTTTAAAACCGATTTAAAAACTCACCATCTATGGTGGTGCTATATACCATCTTTTTCAGTTATTGTATATTGGCCTGTGTTGCTTATGGTTGAAACGGGATGAAAGACTTTGACTTGGTATGCTCGTATGTAGTTTTATATTGTTGCGTCTGTTTTTTAAATGTGGTAAATTTTAGATTGTTTTTATTTCTCTTTATAATGTGGTTGACTTTGTACAGCGCTTCGAGCTTTTGGGGATGAAGCGTGTTTTTCAAATAAACTTTATCATTATTGTGTTTACCAAGTCATAAATGTGCTATGATGCATTTCCGGTGTGGTGCGATATATTTTGTTATGAGCACAAGAAGGCATTCTTTAGGGAGTGAGTGGATGTTTTCTACTGAGCTAAGTAATTTTTGATGGTGGACAGAAGTTGTCATTTATATGGTGTGAAGCCATTAACTTATTCCCGACTAAATGCCTCCTTAGGGGGTTTCGGCGGATGCGTCCCCTCTCTCATTTCTATTTTAAAATAGCAACGAAATCTCGCATGCCTCGAGACTTCCTGCGATGGCGTGATTTAAATTTAAAAAACTGAAGAAAAAAAAAACTGAAGTTTTTATCTTGTTTCACTTTTAAACTATGAGTGCTTTAGTACGGCGCGTCTATATGTGGAATGTGTTGCCCGAGTTGCCAAAAATCAATTTTTAAATAATTGTTCGCTATCTTTTCATCGCTAATGTTATTTTTTTTATTAGACAGTATCCATTTTTTGGTGCATTTGTTCTTAATTCATTAACATTACATAATATTTAGCAGATTAAAAAAATATTTTACAAATGTAAATCAATGGCAAAACGGAGTTAATTCTCTTTCTCAGGCAAATAAATTAAGTACGGAAGTAGCACTGCCTTATGGAATGATTTAATGTTGGTTTGTGTTTATTTTTAAATAATTAAAGAATATTTATTTGATCAAAACCATCTCGTGAATTTCTTTGAAGCAAAAAAGAAACAGTTTTAGACTCTGATATTGTTTTCTGTGGCCGTTCGGAGGGGACCTACCCCTAGATGACATTTCGCCTCAACTGCCAATGACCTTGTCTCATCCTTAAACAAATCGCAGGACTATATCCTGTATATTTATAGTTAACTTATATTTACATAAGCAGTTGAGTGGATTCCCTTACACAACATGTATTTTGTCTAAAACTACCCTTTGAGTTTTTGAGAGCTGAAAACTACACTGACACTGACCCAGGGTTACACAGGTCTGGGATTAAATAGTTGGTAAAATATCAATTCTACATTGCCATTAACATGAAGGGATTAGACAGGTTTACCTTGGCATAAGAAACTCATCAGAGGAGTTAAGCAAATCAGATGTATTTCGTGATCCATGATCATCCATCAAGTCATCTATAACAAAAAATATTGCAGTTATTCTGAGTTATGGGATATAATGAAAATGGAGGTAAACATGGGCATCATTCATAAAGTTTACTTTATTAAATACTATAGATTATATTTATAAAGAAAGTTTATTCCAAGTAAGACGTACCATCTGAGAATGTGTTATCAAGATCTTTTCGTATTAGTCCATTGAGCAGGTTTGAATCATTGTTGTTTGTGGTTAATGCTAATTGAGAATTTTTTAAGGCCCTTGTCACCCTCTGAAACAAACAAAGTGTGGCCTTTAGACCTGTCCAACTTAAATTTTTATAGCTGAACACTAATTTTGACCAAGTCATTATAATCATCTAATACTAATATGTCAGAACACTACAAATAATTTCATACGGTATAAAAAACAATTTTTTTTCGTCCACCCTTATTGCCTCATTCAATTATTGTTAGTCTACTTACTGAGATCGGGAATGCATAAATTTTCATTCTGGCCTTGAACACCTGCAATAAAGATACCAATAATTGTGATTTCCCCCATTCATGGGCATATTCAAGGGGAAAATTTATTGCATACTAATTTCTATAAGAATGAAATCAAATTTTAACTTATTTGATACAAATATATTCTATAGACCTGTTTACCCTCAAACTTCTTAAATCATACAAAAATCGTATAAAACAGTATCTTAATAGTAAATAAATAAACATACAATATATATAATGTATACAAAATGGAATAACCACATGCATTGCAACCCCTTCTTTTGGATATGGGTATTGCAACCCCTCCTTTTGGATATGGGTGGCTGCGGCTTGCTCACAGGGGTGTTGCAAAATATTAAATTTTCATAATTGTTTCCCTTTTAATCCAATACGACACCTAACAGTAATGTTTTAAACAGTAACCCACTTGAGTAACTAATATTTGTAGTTACTAGATGACGCATGGTGACCTACCTACACACACGTTACCGGTATATTTATTTTTACCAAACTCTTTATTTTATTTAGTTTATGCATTCGCTATTTCGAAGTGTACTTATAAGAACTTAAAAAAGGGAGCCCACTGAAAACCTGAATTTAGCATAGGCACAGGGAATTTTTTTTTTTTTAGAAGCACAGGCATAGCCGAAAAAAAAGATACATCAGATTCCTACAAAACACTGCGTGATAAATTTACAGCAATCACTATATAAATTTGTTATTTGTTTACTTTCAGGATGAATATTGTAGAATTTTAGAAACATAAGCATTTTCTGCAGAGTTGTCCCCATCCCCGACAAAATCTAAAAAATCGACACATTTTCCTTCTGCGGTGCGTACATACAATAAGGATGAATCCGGACGGAATAAAATTGAGTAAAAGACATCTCAAATTTGTACATTGTGCGTCAAAATCATAAGAGTAAACAGGTCTGATTCTACTTATTGTATTTCTTCTGTTTTTAATACAGTGGAATATAAACTAGTGCGCTGTTTAATAAAAGCATCCAATTTTAAAAACATCAAAATGATCCCACAATAAAACAACGTGATTTAAACAAGCAAAAAAAAAAAAAAATTAAGCCAATTTACAATTAGAGGAGTAACTTACCGATCGCACAGATGGAAAGGCCAAGACCTGATCAACAGTTGGACGATTCTTGTAATCCGGATCAATCATTTGTTTTATCACATATTTCATATCATAACTCCTATCTGAAAAGAGTAGCGGTATAAATTTAAAAACATTTACAATTCTTTACAGATACTTCTCTTGGCAACAATTTTCATTTAGGTGTTATTACCTCAAGCCTTTTCTGTAATTTTCCCTACTTTGTGCAATTAACTCTCTATAGTCAGACTATACAGAAATGGTACTCATTAGTACCATAGGTTTTGAGGGTGGCTTATTTATTTTTTAACTTTAACTTTTATTTTAAAAAATTATATTATTATTTTATTTAAATAATTTGTTTCATGGGTTAGTACTTATTTAAAAATTAAAATTATTACAGTACAAAATTTGAAATTACTACGGTACAAAATTTGAAATTACTATTAAAAAGAATTAATTTTTGGAAACTTATTCAGTCAGGAGCATCCCTTGATGGGCGAACAACATGCACTTTTCTCCCCGAAAATAGGGGGCAAATCAAGTGTGCGTGTTATACGCTGATAAATACGATACTAATATTAATATAGTCAAATGATTTTAATTTTATGATTTATCAAAGAAATTTACTAAAATGGAGACTCTGATCATGGAATTTATCCTGATTTACATAAAAAAAGTAGACTAATGCTATCGTAAACAAATAAGCTTAATTTTAATTATCATTACCCGACTTAAATTCATAATAAAACAATGAAGTGATATTTTTATATTTTTAATTGGCTGAAGTATATATTATACATTTCTACTTATATTGATAGATTGTATTTGAATTTTACGGTTTCAATAATTTTATAATTAATTAATAGCAAAGGCTATGCGAGATAAATATTGTAATTAAAATAAAAATTAAAGTTCAGGACTTCTGAGCTATTACCTAAATATATTTCTTTTAAATATGTTACTGCTATGAATCATCTTCTAAATTTTTTAATATTGCATAGTAGAAATGTGTTTAAATTTAATTATTATCGCTTGTCTCTAGTATTAGTTTAGACTACACCAAGACGGAATGAAAAATTAAAAGCTCATTGACTCTAATGGGAAGGAAGAGAGAGAGAGAGAGAGAAAAATGCAGATATTGGATTAAGAAGCTATTATTCCTTATTCCTCCTAAATACTAAGCCCGGATTCCACCCTTTTACTGTGTTACAGAGTTACAGGATGAATATCTTGAAGATTTAACTCTAAAAACAACTAGTGGTAAGTTTTTATCTAATCACTTGGTAGCAAAATGCATACAGAATAAACTCACAATATTGTTATAACATATGTTATAATGTATTTTCTATGTACCATGGTTTACTTTTATACTTATACTGATTTAGGCATTCGGACTAGGATTAATGGTATTTTCCCCTATCTGATAGCATACCATTAGTGTTAATTTTATTTATAAATCAATCAAATGTTTATTTTACAGTTTTTTTTTATTGAGTTAATGTTCTGTGGTGAAGAAAACAAGTCCAGTACGAGCTCTTAAGTGTTATTTATTTATTATAATAAAAATGCATACAAGTTTTAAGAAATAATAGTCGTTCAGTATCCATAAATATAATTTAGGAATACTGTAGTTTGTCGGCCTGTGCTATGTGAGGATTATAACAAAGATATATCAAATTACTGGTATATGGGAAAAGATAGATCACATTGGTGAGGAACTGGATTTTATTGGGCATTAATATCAAAATTAGCAGTATTGTACAGAACAATTTTAATTTTTATTAACTTTAAGCCCAGGGAATACTAGTACGTTAACATTAGCAAATATGTATGTACATTTTTAAAGTATGCCGATCGCTTCAAAAAAATCGCTGTAACGCTGTTGTTAAAAAAACATAACAAACCCCCCCCCCCCTTCATACTCAGTGACAATTTTGCTTAAAATAAAAAAAAAAATTTAAAAAATTAAATATTATTTTAATAACTAAAAATAAAAAAAAAAAAAAATATCAAAATTAGCAATATTGTACAGAACAATTTTAATTTTTATTAACTTTAAGCCCAGGGAATACTAGTACGTTAAAATTAGCAAATATGTATGTACATTTTTAAAGTATGCCGATCGCTTCAAAAAAATCGCTGTAACGCTGTTGTTAAAAAAACATAACAAACCCCCCCCCCCCTTCATACTGTGTGACAATTTTGCTTAAAATGAAAAAAAAAATTTAAAAAATTCAATATTATTTTAATAACTAATAATAAAATAAACAAAAAATATCTAATGATAGCAGAGTCAAAAATGAACAATTTAATATATATAGCTGATCAGAGCTATTTCAAATGAGATATTAAAAAAAAAAATAACCTAAGATATTAAAAAAAATTGGAAGAAAAAAAACATCAGACTGCAGAGAGTTAACATGACCATGACTTTACCCACAGCTGGCAAATTTACCCCATATGTGTGGGATCATGTTTTGTTCAACAGCTGAGTCATGGTCTGCCTGCTTGTCACAAACCGCCCCCCGTAGTAACGACTTTCTTACCAGTGAGAAATTCTTCAGGCAAAGTGCCACTGCGCAGAGTATGCCACCCGTCTCCACCTCTGGGCAACTCTAAATCTGTCAGCATCTCCAGCATAAACATTCCAAGTGAAAAGACATCAGCATGTTTACCGAATTTCCCTTCTAGCAGTTCCGGTGCTAAATATCTGGGATCACCTTCAGTGGCATCGGAGACATCTGTTTGCTAATATTAAAGAAATATTTTTATTACTTTTATTTAACCTCAAGACATTAGGAAAGTACAAATTTAAGGCACTATTTCCCAATTAAAACTATTTGATGAGGTAGCAGTCAAGTATTTTATAATTAACCTGTCACCAGAAATGGAAAATCCAATTTAATTAAAGCGTTTGTGTGTAGGAATTTTGTTTTGTCTATTCCAATATTTTAAGCCTACTTGTACTTAGGTACATGTATCTAAAAAACCAAAACACAGCTTTATAAACTAGTACATTAAAAAGCGCTCAATTTTTATCCTAACAATGCAACATATAATTTTTATATAGTAGATTTATTTAAAAAAGCAAATATTGATTACTCTTATAGAACCTATCTTTTAGGCAGTAAAATTTTATTGCTATTATTACTCTCAGTTACATTCCATTGTCATCTATCTGATCAAGAGCCGCAACTCTAAAATCACTTTAACAAGAACAATGTTATTTAATAATAGTGGATTCTATACACCATTAAAGTTTAAGCACAGGCTATCTATAGCTTCTAATAATTTCTTCTTGCAAATTTTTGGGGTAGTGTCTCTCTAACACTTTTATACAAAAAGAAAAAAAAAAAAAAAATTAATTTTACACTACCGGTACTATTAAATAAATTATTTGTAGAGTAAATTTTAATTTCATCTCATTCCAGCATAAATTATAATGATGGGTGTTCTATTACTATAATAAATATATATAAATGTTTGTTTTGCACAAATGGCAGACTTAAGTAGCTAATACATAACTCTTCTATTCTGCATTGCTTTTATTGCTTACACTTTACAGAATATGTTGCAGTTCTTACCTTAGTGAGATCTATAACCAGTCCAAAGTCCCCTAGCTTACAAATACCATCAGATGATATAAAGGCATTTTCTGGTTTAATATCCATATGAACTAAGTTGTAATCATGTAAATGTTTGAGAGCCTGGAAAACAAATTTGAAATACATGAAAAACAGTATACACAGTATAATAGCAGAAGTTTACGTTGTAAGAGACAATGGTTTAGTTAATCTGCTTCTTTGTAACCTATCAGAAAACACAAACTGATATAAGGAACATGAATCCTTTTTGGAAACAAAAATATTAAAAAATCTATGAAACAAAGTTCAACCCCCTTTATCTCCTGTTCCATGCAAACTTGTTAGGAAAGTCCCTCTGCATATAAACAAATTTGATTTGGGACCCCCCCCCCTCCCCCCAACCAGCACCAAGCAATATTACACAATTTCCACTTTGAAATCTTTGTGACAGGAGCAAATCTAGCAGACCTGGTGCAAACTGGTTACTAACATGCAGGGATTGGCTGGGCCGCCAGGAATATTCAATGTGGACCACAAGGGCCCGTGATATTTGTGTCACTTCTACATAACAATAAATCTTGCATATTAAAACTCTACTTAAAGATTTTTAACCAGGCCTTGGCTTACAATCGTAAAAGTCCTCAAAATAATACATTGTAAGCCAAAACAGTAAGAGCAATCAGGTCTGTTTAAACAATCGTTTATAAATTTAAAAAAAATAAATAAATGTTTTGATATTTTGAAGTGTATTTGTTTGAAATTGACATGGGGTGTCTGGGGAAAACATACATTCAAAAAGGGCACAGAGAACCTAATTTTTTTTAAAAGAACCATAGATGCAGCCAAACAAAGCAACCTGTCACATAGAACGGTGAACAAATATTACTGATTACTGTGTGATAACTCTAGTGAGTTCACTTGTGAAAAACATTATGATGATAATTACAAAACCTAGTGAGATATTTTAAAGCATTAGAGATATATATATAAATATAGGCAGTATTTCTAAATAAATGTTGGTAGTTTCTGCCAAGACGCATCCCCACACATGCGCCCAACATCTCAAACATTCTCCATGCTTCAACCATCAGTACTGTAAGGAAACCGAGTGTCACGTCTTGTGCCTCCTACTACTTTATGTGAATGGTAACCTCGTTCACTCTCTCTCTTACTCCAACACTCAGGTAACAACAAGTTGACTGGTAGCCTTTCACTTTAATTGATCTGCTCTACAATCAAAACCTTGGAACTCCGACTGTCCCGGGTTGCTGTCCTCTCCTGTCTATCTCTCCCTGAATTGGTCGCTCCATCACCAGAGTTTCCCCCACGTGGCTTAAATCTTTTGCTACATCTTCGGTACTAAAATTTCTCCCAACGCCTCCCTTCGTTTGAATGGACATTAACCAACCAGTGCCATCACATAGCGTTCCCAAATAGTATCGCCACGATGTTATCATTCAAGCTACAATCGTTGGTCAGTTCCGCCATGTCCGCTGATACTAAAATTTGTTCCAACACCTCTTGCCATTTAAATGGCCATTAACTAACCCTTGGTCAGTTACCGTGCTGTGGGATCTGATAGGCTAGACCCTTTGGTCAGTACCCCGTTCTGGGATTCCACCCCAACCCTGTACTCCCAGGTCGCAGCCAGGCCCGAACACTCCACAGTACCTATGTGCCATATAGATGGCCCTTGTAACCAGGTTAGTTATAAATAACTGCTTACCATTAATAGATCTACCATGTAATTCCAGATTAACCCTTCACTGATATGTTGGTTCATTCCACAGAATTCACTCACACTGAAAAAAAAAATATTTAAAAAAATAAATTTAAATAGGATTAAAATGAGTCATCGTTACATATTCATCTGTAGAGAAAGATACATCCCTTTAACATTTTAAAAGTGGTTAGTCACCACTGAAAGACTTCACCACTTAGCAGAGACAATAAGAAGCGTTAGGGGTCGTTTGCAAATGACGTGACACAAAAAAATTTCCTTTTTTCGACACCCCCCCCCCCTCCCCTGTAGCAAATTCTTTACACCCCCCCCCCCATATTAGTGTCACGTCACACCTAACAAAAAACAACAAAAACCATACATAACATAGTCATAACTAAACTAATATTTTATTTTATTCTTTAACATTTTTCCATAATGATAATGGATTAAGATGTAGTATATTAGAAATCTGGGACGCAAAACAACGAATTCATCCCGCTCCGAATGTAAAATGGCCACAACAGTTTTTGCACAAAAGGTGTGCGCGACCGAGGTTCATGGTACCTATAATACCTGAGGCAATTTGGACCTCAATTAAAAAAAAAAATAAAAAATTAATTGAATAAAGATTTTTCAAAACATTTTAGATTTCATATTTAAAAAAAAAAAGTGACATCACATTTATTGCTCGACACCCCTCACATGTAAAATAATATCTGAACAACTCCTTATATCAATTAATATCTACCTCATTTTACACAGTTCTGTTTGGATATAAAGATGACCTCTCTCTTCCCAGGCTTTATAGAATCTAATACAGTTAGGATGTGGTAATAGAGACTCATGTTTAGCAACTTCCTCCATTTTACGTTTCCTACATGGATAAAAGGTTTTGAATAATTTTTCAATATAAAATTAATAGTTTTCATTCTAAACTTTCATGTATCCATCATATGTTTGATTTAAATTGTTAGAAATGTAGGAGAATAATAAATTAACCATTAATAAAAATAATAAACACTAGAAACTTTTTTATCAAATGAAATTGTGGCTTTTACCTGTCACACTGTCCCTTGAAAGGTTCCCGGGATTTTTTTATTGCATAATATTTGCCATCTTCTTTACTCTTGCATTTAAAAACCTGAAAATGAAACCAAAATATTGTCACTTGTATATTTAATTCAAACTTAATAATATATTTTTTTTTAAAATAAAAAATATATTTTACACTTGTAAAAAGTTTTTGTCTTTAATGCATGTTTCTAACCAATATCACTAAATATCTGGTCCCAGTATTATCAGCCAATAACATTCCTATTCTTTTTAGATTTGTACATTTTAAACATTGAACTTAATCTTACATATATTTCAATCAAATTATAATGGGTTTTTACAATACAACCTACTAATTGCTTTTCTTTAAAAAAGAAAAGAATACAGCTTGCAACAGATATGGTAAATAATTTATTTAAAACATCTTTGCCTACGAGTCATATAAAGCAGACAGAACAGTTAAACATGTAAGTAAATTCTAACCTAGTCAAATAGTAGCAGGAAACACAAATTATTAAAAAAATTGTAATAACTGTGCTAATTTGTTCAATTAATCAGGGTACAAACCTCTCCAAAGGAGCCATATCCAATTGGTATAGAGTCTTCAAACATCTGCTCGAAATATAAATCATTGGACTTTTCGTTGTATCTGGGACTCAGTATTGCTGCTACAATGTTAAGGAAGAATTAACTAAAATAAGTAACCCGTGTGTAAGTTAGTCCAGCTAAATAAAAGTGAATCATAAACAAGACAACCAAAACCTATGACTACAAAAGAAGAAAAATAAAAGACGGCTTTTCAGCAATTAAAATTGTAAAGAATACATCATCATAAATAAAAATACTATAAATTCAGAGTATGGCACAACACTTTTCAAAATAATGAAACATCCCCCTTAAATATTATTGGAAGAAGTAATAATTAAATCAGAAATATTATATAGGCTAATAAGTAACAATTCAATATTACTATTCCCAGCAGGCTAATATACTAAATTTTCAATATGAAACAATCATGATGCACATTATTGGTATAGGTAAAGGATACAGCCTTCAGAATGCCTAAATGAGACAGGTTGTGCATGGAGAGATGCAATATTGCGCCGAGGAAATACTCTGCTTATTGGAGGGCAACTCTTCACAGGAGGTCGAGGAGGTAGATGATCTCGTGGTGTTCCAGCTTGCTTTAACTGCAGTAAAAAAGTTTTCTTTCAAAAGGAAGTTTGTAGGCACATGTAGTGTAGTCCTAAGCCTATGCATTACTAGGCCTAATGATTTTAATATTATTTAGAATTGTAAATAGGAGAGGACGGCTAGGATTGGGTTAGCGGTAAGGCCGGAAATGTCTCCAACAGTATATAGGTCATTGAGTTTCCCCAGGTCAACCATTGGCCAGAGTTCCATAATCACATTCTAATGATTTTGATTTTTACCTCTGTATTTATTCGATACAAACATTTTCCCCTAGTTCTTTTCTTAAAAATTTTTTTTTTTTTTTTGCAAGCAGGGGTGGGGTCTCCCTTCCCAGAAAATTATATTAAAATTTAAAGTGAAATAGCGAAATGAATGGCATACAGCACAGGTACTTATTTTTTTGCAACCCATCACAAGTCTGCACTTTTTGCAATGTGCGTGTTTCTTTCACAGTAGTAACAGCAAGGGCAAGGATTGTTTTGGGGCCAGTGGAGTTTATACTATACACACACACAAAAAAGACAACTCGGCTGTATTTTAAGCTGTTGAAAGGCAATTATCACATTTGACCATTTACTCATGGTGTTGGGATTCTCTTAGCAAAACCCAACCGCTAACCCAAACTTTCCAGCTGGCGCCTAGTGTAGCTAGACACTACAGTCTACACTTACATGGACATTGAAACTGACTAGAATTTATTTAAATGAAATTAAATAACAATGACATGTAGAGTGCTTAGGCTTAGATGGACTAGACTAATCATCACTAGTACTACTAGTATGTAGATATATGGTAACTTAGTGATTAATTAATTAATCTAACATGTAAAAGTAAAATAATTAATTTAAAATTAAGGCTTAAAAAGTGTTTAATTTCAGTTTAGGATCAGCATTAATCATGTCCCCGTGATGTGAAAAACTAGTCTCATATATGAAAAGTTTCCATCTTTGGGGACAGGGCTCCGACAGGGTGACAGTCGGAGGGGCTGTCACATCGAAAATAATAGATTGATTTTGCTAGTTCTAAGTCTACGGCACGAATTCCACCAATTTATATAGCACTATAATTATTAAAAAAATATATGGGAGCCAGCGATTGTGGAGTGTAGCCTAGGTTATGTAAAATCAAAATTAAATATAGATATAATATTCTACTAAAGGGTGGGTGCCGAGGCCCATTTTTTTTTAACCATGATATTAAAAATGGAGTAAAGCTGAAGTTAAGTTGCTTACCTTTTTAGTGGAAAAAGTCTGTGGTTCTGGATAAAAACGAGGAGTTGGTCGTGGACTCGGAATAACAGAGTCATTCATTTTAGAAATGAAAAAAATATCACTGGCAAAATTAGCTCAAATTTCAGTTAAATCATAACAATAATAATAACACAACAGGTTCTCGTCACTCAATGGAGGCCTTTCGCGGTTTTTTCCGGTTTTCATAAAACGAGCTATCTTATTGGTTGCTATTTATATATCAAAATTCAAATCAACTATTTCTACTATATATAATCCTACACAGAAACACTTGATCATATTTTATAAAGTTTGAAGATTCATAGAGCGGATGATTTATTTTTTTCTTAATGGCAAATAATTGAAACGGTTAGGATTCACGGATTTCAAGCTTGCTATCCAATCAATAACAGTGTGCCATTTTAACAACGATCGCACCACGTGACATGGTCTAAGTCTAACCCACTAAAAAATTATAGGAATTATTGTCCAAATTATTTTGGTCAAATTGATTTTTAAACAAATAGAGCTTAAAATTATACTGCTTGAAAAATCTTTCGAACACCATGTAACACCATGTTCTTAGAAAGCTAATTTATATTGACCATAAAGTATAAACCATATAATTTTCATGCCACCGGTATCAAAATCGCTCTGTTTCATTGTTATGCAAACTGTGTCAGTGTCGAGTTAGTGCTAATTGCATTATTATTATTTAGATTAAAATGTAAGATTACTCATTTGTATATTTCAGTTACATTTTTAATTACACGCAGACCTATTAACTCTCTGCAGTCCGACTATAGAGAAATGGTACATATAAGTACCATAGATTTTGTGGGTGGGTTATTTATTTTTTAACTTTTTTTTTTATTGAAAAAAATTATTTATTATATTTTAATAATTTGTTTCATTGGTTTAAGTATTTGTAAAAAAATTAAAATTATTACAAAATTTGAAATTACTATTTAAAAAAAATATTTTTGGAAACTTATTCAGCGCGGAGTATCCCTTGAAAGCTTCGCAGATTTCCAAAAAAACAAAAAATATAAGTCTCACAAAAAAAATTAAATAGTAGTATGAATATTGTCAAATGATTTTAATTTCCCGATTTATCAAGGAGTTATTTGTTTGTCTAAAGCAATGTATCCAAATGGAGACTCTAATCATGAAATTTATCACGATTTGCATATAAAAGTACCGACTAATGCTATCGTAAACAAGTAAGTTTAATTTTAATTATTATTTCCCGACTTTAAAATTAATAATAAAACAATAAAGTGATAATTTTATAATTTTAATTGGCTGAAGTATATATTATCCATTTATACTTACATTGATATATTCTATTTGAATTATATTGAGTTTCAATAATTATATAATAAATAAATAGCGTCGCTATGCGAAATAAATATTTTAAAAAAATAGCGGAAAATTTCGGTCGATTGGAACTTGCGTAATTAAATAAATTTAAAGTTAAGGACTTCTGAGTTATTAACTAAATATATTTCTTTAAAATATGTTACAGCCAAGAATAATCTTCTAAATTTTCTAATATTGCATAGTAGAAATGTGTTTAAATTTAATTATCATTATCGCTAGTCACTAGTATTAGTAGAGACTACTGTCGGCAGAATAAAAAAAAAAACATTTATGTTTTTATTAAAAGCTCTCTAACTCTATTGGGAAGGAGGAGAGAGAGACAAAAATGCAGATATTGGATCAAGAAGTCCTTATTCCTTATTGATCCTAAATATTAAGCCTGGACTCCACCCTTTTACTGAGTTACAGAGTTACTGGATGAATATCTTTGAAGATTTTACCCTAAAAACAAGTGGTGGTAAGTTTTAATCTAATCACTTGGTAGCAAAATGCATAAAGAATAAACTCACAATATTGTTATAACATATGTTATAATGTATTTTCTATGTACAATGGTTTACTTTTATACTAATTTAGGCACTTGGACTAGGATTAATGGTATTTTCCCTTACTGATAGCATACCATTACTGATACCATTAGTGTTAATTTATTTATGAATCAATCAAATTTTTTTTTTCCACAGGTTCTTTATTGAGTGAATATTCTGTGGTGAAAAATCTTACCTAATCTTATGTAGAAATCAAGTCCAGGACAAGCTCTTATTTATCAACTATAATTATTATAATAAAACTGCAGACTGTTTTAAGAAATAATATTTGTTCAGAGTCCATAAATATAATTAAGGAATACTGTAGTTTATCAGCCTGTGTTATGTGAGGATTATAACAAAGATATATAAAAATGCCGGTACATGGGAAAAAATAGATCACATTAGTGAGGAATGGATTGTATTTGACATGAATATCAAAATTAGCAATATTGTACTGATACATTTTAATTTTTTTTAACTTTAACATCAGCAAATACCGCTATTTTAAAATTTAAAAAAAAAAAATTGACCCTTGTTTTGAGTTATTTATATAATCATCAAATTTTAATTAGTTATCTTTTACTAAAGAATTATTAAGAAATATATTTAATATACAAATCTATAAGCTACGAGACCCATTTTTTTAAATATATTACATACAAAACATAATTTTCATTAAAAGAAAAACTATAGTGCATTTTTTAGGAAAAAAAGACAAAATATAGGTTTTGCTAAAATGTTGACAACTTTTTGATTGTTCATAGAATTTTTGTCATGTTTGACTATGAATTGTATAAGTTGATGAAGTATTTTATTTAAATAAATTTTAAATCTTTTATAACAAGGATTTTTTTTTTCCTTCATACTGTGTAAAGATTTGGTCAAATTTTAGCATAAAATGAAAAAAAATAATTCTCCAATAATGTTTCAATTATTTTTATAACTAAGAAAATAAAATATACAAAAAATATCTTATGATAGCTGAGTCAAAGATGAACAAGTTAATATATTTAACTGATCAGATCAGA